TGCCCTTGCATCCTAATACTCTCCAGAGACCTGGTACACCTCAGCACTGCTACAGTGCTTGGGGACAAGGCTAACCAAAGACAGGACTCTACATCATCCTCACGTGGAGAGGGGCTTTGTTTGCCCAAGAACAGAGCAGACCCATCCTACCTTCCCACAGACAGGGAGTCTGAGACTAAAGCTTGGTAGGTTGGTCTTCCTCCGTGGTTGCTTTTGATTTTGACATAGCATCTCACTCTGTTGCCCAGGCTGCCATCCAACTCCTATGCTCAAGCCATCTTCTCATCATACCCTCTTGAGACTTCAGGGGTGTATATTATTGTATCCAGTTCATCCCAAAGTTGGAATCACTGACCCCAGAGCCTGCCCTCCTCTCCTTGTCCCCCATACCTGGTCCTCAAATCTGGCTGTCTGTGGAGAGGCTGATGTGCCACAAAGCCCAGCAGCCAGAGCTCCCTGGAGAAGGGACCAACGTCCTGCCAGCTGTCCTTGGCACTGGGCCAGTGGCTTCACTTGGAGATTTCAGGTTGTGGAAACTGAGGTTGGATGAATGAGAAACAGAACTAAGAGACTGGATGACTAGCTCAAGGTCCGCCACACAGATCCCTACTAGTAAGGTTGATTAAAGTTGGCTTCGCTTCCCAAAGACTGATTCAAAGTGACTTGTGTGAGTCAGGAGGGCTAAAACAGGTATCAGGGACACCAGAAAATGGTTCCTGGCTGAGTGCAAGCTGAGACCAGGGCCCCAAGACTCCGGGCCAACACAGTTCCTTGCAGCTAGAAAGTTCTGTGGAACTCTCCAAAACTATTTTTCCCATCTAAGTTATTCCATTCCCCCTGTGAAGACTACCCACCCAGAGCCCCTGGGCACACCTCCCAAAACCATCTACCTACCACTTCTCTTCCGGATCACCTCAGTGAGCCCCAGCCCCCTCTGCAAGTGCCTGGCGCCCGCCTCCTCTGCGGAGCCCAGCGGGAGCCGCAGGGTGCACTGTCTGTCTGGTCAGCGCTGCCCCTGCCTCAGGCCCACCTGTTGCCATGGGAACCACTGGCCCTTGTGACGCTGTGCACCAGCCCAGGTGCAGGGAACTTTGATTCAAGGGCTGAGCTCAGATACGCGGCAGCAGCGATTTATGTATAGGGCCCCACGGACTCGAAACAAGCTCTACCTTAGCCTGTTCCACGGGCTAGTGAAACTGTTCAGCAGCTTCGTGCCTCCCAGCCATCCAGGAGTCACTATGGTGGCTGGGTCAACAGCCTGGCTTGAAGTGGGGTTCCCTGCATCGCAGGAAGCTGGTGTTTTTAAGCAGGGACAGCTTTGGCTTCTGGGGCCCAAGAAGCCCGCAGGAGCCAATGGAGTGCAGGGAAGGGGCGCCTGCTTGACATTCCAAACCAAGCTATAGCCTGCGGGTGAAGGGTGCTGGCTTTCCCAGACCTTTGGAAGCTCATGTTCTGTGCCCTCTAGTCTACATAAATGGGGTTTCCATAGCTCCAGGGATCCTCAAAGGAATCCCCAAGTATAAGTCACCCTCATACTCCAAACTGGGCTCTGGACCCCTGGATTTACTACCCAGATCCCTCCTTCCTCTTTAAGAGCCAGCCGGGGGTTACTCCTAGCAAGGGTCTCAGGGGCTCAGACACCTGAAAGGGGCTGACTCATTTCCATGCACTGGCTGTCCTTCCACAGAACTCCCAGCCCTCCTGGTTGCATCTGACAAGCCAGGGAGTAGCTTTCCTACCTGTCAACCTACATTGGCCATAGGCCTTGGAGGTCCTGTAGGAGGGTGAAGTGATGGGTGCTGGTTCTGTGCTCATCTAGGCTAGCCATGGTGACTCGTTTTGGGAGTCCCAGGGACAAGAACTAGATTTTTTTGGTGAAAGGGATGCCATCTGAAGGTCCAGAATGGAAACTGGTCCATGAGAGGTAAGAGAATGAAAAACCACAGGAAGAATACCAGCTCTCCAGCTCTTCCTCAGGAAGGAGGTGGGTAAGGCTCACTATCCTGTTCTTCTTGGGGGTTGGGCTTGTTTTGGGCTTATGAAAGCTCCTCAGTCCCACTATATCTCTCTTTTTTTTCACTCCTAATTTTTTAGATTTATTTTATTATATATATGAACATTTTATCTGCATGTATGTATGTGCACCATGTGCATGCTTGGTGCCCACAGAGGTTAGGAGAGGGCATTGGTTTCCCTGGAACTGGAGTTAGGGATGATTTTTAATCCACCGTGTAGATGCTGGTAACTGAACCAGGCAGTTTTTGATAGTAACAAAGTTCTCTTAACTTCTGAGCCATCTCTCCAGCCTCTCATTTTTTATTAAAAATTTCATTTTGAGGTGTGCAGAGCCACATGCATGCTTTGCTGTGTTTTGTTTGTTTGCTTTTCATGGGGTGTTACCCTGTAGCCCTCACTGGTTTGAAAACTCTGTAGACCAGGCTGGGCTCAAATTCACAGAGATCCACCTTCCTCTTTCTCCCAAACTCTGGGATTAAAGGCATGCACCATCACACCTGGCTCACAGCAGTTGTAAAGAATGATGATCCTACAATCCCATTTATCCTTCATCCACTTTTAGATGCAAATTCTTGAAAAGTTGAAGCACCAGATCATACCAAGGACACAGGGTAGGTCTGTGGCTACAGAGATACCCCATGGAGTCCAGCAGGGCCAGCCCTTCTCCAAGTCATCCCTTGTCTTACTTTTTATTGCTGTGACAAGATACCACAACCAAGGCAACTTATAGAAGAGTTTATTGGGACTTACAATTTCAGAGGGTGAATCCGTGATCATTATGGTAGGGAGCATGGCAGCAGGTAGCAGGCAGCAGACAGGCATGGTACTGGATCAGTAGCTGAGAGTTTGCATTCTTTTTTTTTTTTGGTTTTTCGAAACAGGGTTTCTCTGTGTAGTTTTGCGCCTTTCCTGGAACTCACTTTGTAGACCAGGCTGGCCTCGAACTCACAGAGATCCGCCTGCCTCTGCCTCCCGAGTGCTGGGATTAAAGGCGTGCGCCGCCGCCGCCGCCGCCGCCGCCGCCGCCGCCGCCGCCGCCGCCGCCGCCGCCGCCGCCGCCGCCGCCGCCGCCGCCGCCACCACCACCACCCGGCGAGAGTTTGCATTCTTATCTGCAAGATAGAGGCAGAGAAAGCTAACTGGGGATGATATGGGCTTTTGAAACCTCAGAGCCCACCCACCTCCCCATGATACACCTCCTCCTACAAGGCAAACCTAATCCTTCCCAAATAATCCAACTAACTAGGGACCAACTGTCAAATATGTGAGCCTGTGGGGGCCATTCTCATTTGAACCACCACATTCCACTTCCTGACCACCATAGGCTTGTGGTCATATCATAATGCAAAATGCATTTAGTACAGCTTCAAAAATCCTCATAGTCTTTTTAGACTCTCAGCACAGTTTAAAAGTCAGCCAAAGGACTCAAGGCAGTCTCTTAATTGTAAGCCCCTATTAAATTAAAACCAAAAAGCAAATTACATGCTTGCAACATACAATGGCACAGAATATACAATTCTGTCTGTTCTAGATGGATGGGATTCTTTCTTTTCTTTCTTTCCTTCCTTCTGTCTTTCTTTTTTTCTTTTTCGAGCTGGATCCTACAAATTCTCTCCCTGCTCTGATCTTGGGGAGGGACTGAACTCTCCTCGTCTATAGGAGGAGGAAGAAGACTCCTCTACCTTGAAGCTTTTCTGACAACAGTTCTCAGTCTCCTGTCTCTCGGCATTTCCTTGAGTTGATAAAAGGTCTGGGGACCAGGACTGGAGAACAGGTCATTGGACAGAGCAGAGTCCTCTATTCTTGGCCATCAGTCTGTCTTTGGGCTCCAGCTACACATAGAATGTGCTAAGTCCCTGAGACCAGGACCCAGTGATTTTAGGGGCAAGGGAGTGTTCAGGAGGAATCTACACTCAGTGCCCTGAGCCTGACCTCACCATGATCAATGCAGAGGGGATCTCCCTGAGCCTTCATAGCCTGAAGAAAGGAAGCTTAATTTCTTACTAGGAAGGTACCTCATTCATGTTGAAGATTCAGGTGTGAAAATCTCCATTTATACCCAGCAGTCAGGTGTGAGCATCAAGGCCCCTTCTGGCACTCCCTGAATTTTATATTTGTAATTACCTTTTCTGGACACCCACCAGGCTGTATCTCTATGACACGGAGCTTGCGCCTTAGGGTTCCTGTCCCTTCCTGGCTGCTCAAGCTGGGGATTGGGATTCTGCTATCTAGGATGCTGGAAGGCCAAAGCCAGTGAGCTCATAGGTATCTCTAGTACATCAAAACTTGCAAATTGCCCCAGGTGCTTCAGAAAAAAGTCTCTGCTTCTCTAGAGTAGATGGGGGAAGGAACCTGTTTGATATGTTGGAAGTATAAGCAGTGGAGGAAGGATCTGCAGCAATTACATATGGAAGCTTAAAAGTAACCACTCAGGAGCTAAAGTGTTGTGCTTGGGAGAGAGAAGCCAGCAAGGAGGCAGAGAGCCTGTGGGTAAGACCTCCTCCTCAGACTGAAACAGGCACATGTTCAAGAACTAAGCTTTCTGGGGCGTGGTCCCCACTTCCTGACTTGGTGAAAAATTGGGTGGCAGGCAGCTTGCTTCATTCTTCAGAAAGAGAATTCAGGGTTAGGTGAGAGCCTGTCTGAGGCTTCTCCACTTTCCTTACATGCTGACCATGTCCCCAAGCCAAAGTCCTAGATATCTAAGTCTCTTCCTCTCTGCGGTGTTATTAAGTATCTCCTGGCTATGAAGTGGTTCAGAAATCATACTCTATCCACACCTCCTATGTACCTGGCCCCTCACTGATCCCCCTACGATTGCTACCAGCATTTTAAAATACAGGAATCAGGATGCCAAGAGCTTACTGTGTGTTGAGCATATGCTCCAGAGGCCGTTGGACAGGCTGCCCATACCTACTGCCATCCGGCCCTGAATGGGGCGGTGGGGCGGTAATGTTAAAGAATTAGCTAACATTTAAAAAGCCAAATAGTATTTCAAGGACATATGGCCACTGGTGATGAGCTGCTCCCTCTGTAGACCCCACTCCCTAGGGCAGCTGCTGGTTGCACATGTCAGGCTAGCAGAGCAGAGCAGGCCCCTGTGTACCTGGGAGTGGGGAGTTAAAGGGCAGCTTGTACCAGTAAGCCCTCCTCTCCCCGCCCCTTCCCATAGGCTCCGCCCAACTCCGTCTAGCCTAGGAATCTCAAGCCCAGCTGCCTTTAACCCTAGCGGAGATCCTACTCACCAGACCACACAGCTGTGGAAGGATAGGAGGAGCAGCCTGTGTGGCCCTGGGCCGGATGTCACCCTCCGCTGACACGTGCTGTGTGCCTGATTGAGGAGCCCTCCGTAATGACCTCCGGGGTTAGGGTTAGGGTCTGTGTCACCTGTCACTTCCCTATCCCGTGCCAAATAGGGATGTGGGCAGGAAGCACGGGGTAGCTTGGCTGTCCCACCAGCCTTTCTGGTTTCTCCCTCGTACCGTGGGCTCCTTGGTGCATGGCTGTAGTGCTCAGCCTTCTCAGCGGCAGCACTGAGGGAGATTACTGACCCAAGTCGGCTCCATGCGCCTTCGTCCACAACCAGGCCCCCTAGGCATGGAGCCCTTCTTCCGGAAGCGGCTCACTTTCTTGTCCTTTTTCTGGGATAAGATCTGGCCAGCGGGTGAGTCGGAGGAAGACATCCCCCGGATCCAGGGACTCGACGACAACCCAGTGCTGGAGCAGCCTGCTGCCGTTGAGCCTTGCAGCTTTCCCGCCCCACGCGCGCGACTCTTCCGCGCGCTCTACGACTTCACTGCTCGGTGTGCAGAGGAACTGAGCGTCAGCCGCGGAGACAGACTCTACGCCCTCAAGGAGGAGGGCGACTACATCTTTGCCCAAAGGCTCTCTGGGCCGCCCAGTACGGGACTGGTTCCAGTCACCTACCTTGCCAAGGCCACCCCTGAGACGCCCTCAGACCAACCGTAAGTATCTGGGCTTGGGAGGTAGGACTGAAGGCTGCCATGCCCAGTGGAGTATGTCAGGGTTTTGAGAGTAGGAAATACCTGCTTACAGTCAGTGAGGGCTTATTGAGTGCCTGCTGGCACTGGGCTGAGCAGACAAGTGTGGCATAGCAGTACAAACAGGAAGAACTGCACTGTTGAGGGGAACCCAGTAGTGAGCAAGTCCAGGGAACCAATTGCTGGATAGACCAGGTACTCAGCATAGTCACTTCAGGACCTTGCCTCCATATAGAGGTTGTAATAGAAAGCAGTGAGTGGTTGCTGTTTCCAGGCGAGGAGCTGGGGTCTGAGATGCCTTTCCAGGTGATATAGTGTTGTACTGCTTGGAAGTGTGGGGGCCACACCTGAGCCTCCAGGTGGCTCTGCAGGGTCCCCAGTACTTCCAGGCACTCCAAACCGGGCCAGGGCCAATCTTATCTATTCATATTCACCCAACCACCTCAAACGGAGTCTAAATATGAGACAGACATAGCCCTGATTTGTTTCAGTGAGTGGGTGTGGGGGGACAGCCTGCTCTTTGCCCACAAGGCTGGGCAGTCACTGGCAGAGAGTGGCTGGTTTTGGTGTCCAACTCTTGCATACCAGCAAGGATGCAGCAGGGTCATGGCAGGAATCCATTGAAAGCTCAAGAGCTTGTCTAGGAAACTGTCTCTGGTCTTGCACTCAACTGGTCTTGGCCCGAGTCATCCACATACCAACCTCAGGCATTAGAAGTGCTCAAATCCATCTCTACCCTCCTGAGGACCCCTCAGCAGTCACAGCCTCCCATCAGGTTTTATGTGGTAGGAGAGATTGAGCCATAGAAAGGGATCCAGGCACTTGCCCCATGCCTGCTTGCTGGCCCCCAGCAGAGCGTAGACTAGGTCAAGTAGCTGTTTTGGTGGAGGGGTCCCTCAGGCACCCAGGTGTGGGAGACAGAACTTGTGAACAGTTCCTGAAGGCTGCTGGCATGACAGGCAGGGCTGGGTTCCTGGAGGTGGGGCTGCTCGTGGGAGAGCTAATGATTGCCTGGACCTGGAGATCAAAGTGCTGACCACACTTACAGTGTCATTAGTCCCAGACATCTGGCCCTGTAATCCAGGGAGAGACCCTTGAGGCATGTCCTCCAGACTTCAGGCTGTCACAGAAGCCCAGATATATCCCATAGTGGTTTGTATCCCATCATGGCTTCAAGGAAAGGCTGGGGCTATGTTGGAGAAACTCACACTTCTGGTCTTCCACAGTCTTGTTGTCCTGAGAAGGGACCTCACCCCAGGGGCTCTTCACCTGCCAGAAGATCTCAGTTTCCTGCCCACAGATCCTATAAGTAGAGACACAGGAAGCTTCAAGGGTCTAGACTTCCAGCTTCTGAAACAAGTTTGTGGACTTTCTTGAGCATGCTGCCCAGCCCAGGCTCCATCTGTATCCTTGACAGCCCCTCACATCCATTCAGCCTGCCAATACAAACTCCTGCTTCTCAGGCTTGGCCTCTATCTCCTTATTTGCTAATATCTTTCTGTCTCAGCTGTGCTCACCCCTCCTGCTCCAGCCCAGGCCCACACCCTGGCCACACCAGTTCTTCTCCCACATGTCCCTAGGAGAGGGACTGGCCCGTCTGCTCTTTTGTGGACTAACTTGAGTCGCACCGATTGTCCCCTACAACCTTGCCTCCATCTGAGGAACGGAAGGACTAAGCTCACTTGCATTGCTGTGGTCTTCAACCCACTGGGTTTCTAGAAGTTCTCAGAAATGGAAAAGCTTGGATAGGAAATTGAGCCAGCTATGGGACCTGGTTTGGACCTTGGGGACCAGAGGTGCTTACAATGGAGTAGATCTGGGAGTGACTTTATCTTTCTGAGGTTGTTTCTGGCTCCGAAGAAGGAAGGGAGTGGCTAGGCATGGTGGTATGTGTTTTTAATCCCAGCACTTGGAGGCTAAGGCAGGTGGATCTTTGAGGCCAGCCTTGTCTACATAGTGAGTCCCAAGCCAACCAAGACTATACAATGAGATCCTGTCTTTTTGTTTTTGTTTTTGTTTTTGTTTTTCGAGACAGGGTTTCTCTGTGTAGCTTTGTGCCTTTCCTGGAACTCACTTTGGAGACCAGGCTGGCCTCGAACTCACAGAGATCCGCCTGCCTCTGCCTCCCGAGTGCTGGGATTAAAGGTGTGTGCCACCACCGCCCGGCTAGATCCTGTCTTTAAAAAAAGAAAAGAAAAGAAAGAAGTGAATAGAGCCATACCTGATGCGACTTAGCTGTCAGACGCTGGCCCACCTAGGCATGGCTCTTCAGAGGGCACAAGGTACTTAGAGTAAGCCCCCCCAAACTTTTATTGTCTGCCTCTGCTAACATCCTGCCCACCCTGCCTTAGTCTCCTTCTTCTGGGACCCCCAGATCCCATGTAGCCAATCTCTCAGATGAGCCATGCCCATACAGATAACACCCCTGGTTCTTTCCCTGGTCATACTAGCAGTTCTGTGGGTGTTTCTGGGGCAGCTCCCTGGGGACCTTGGTTCCCAGTGGACCCCCACAGGGACTCAACAAATTTTCAAGTTTGGGGTTTTGGTCTTTGTCCAGGGCTGTTTGTTTTTGGCGAGGCCTGGTGATCCATAATCTGAGCAGAGCATGAGTGCTATATTAGAGTAACAGAACCAGTAGCCCAGGTTAGTGGACAGTCATACCAGTGCGAAGGAGATTCCAGTCACCTGATGGTGATGACCAGGCTCTGGGCACATTTTCTCCCTGAGAGACAGCAGGACAGCTGAGGCCTCATACCTTGCCAGGGTCACATGGCTGGGTCTGAAAGATGACTGTTGTGTCCTGGATTTACAGTTGGTACTTCAGTGGGATCAGCAGGACTCAGGCCCAGCAGTTGCTCTTGTCTCCTGCCAATGCACCAGGGGCCTTCCTCATCCGGCCCAGCGAAAGCAGCGTCAGGGGATATTCTCTGTCAGGTACTCAGACAACCCCTCAAGACTTCATATCTGGGTGGGGTATCTTGCTCAGCTCTACCAGGCCAGACCTTCTTGACCTTAGAGTGGTTGATCCCTTTACTGGTAGCCCTTCATATAGACATGCTAGTCATCAAGTTCCCTCCCTCCCTTCCTCCCTCCCTCCTTATCTCCCTCCCTCCCACTCTTCTTCCCTTCCTTCCTTCCTTCCTTCCTTCCTTCCTTCCTTCCTTCCTTCCCTCCCTTTCTCTTTCTCCCTACTTCCTCCATTCACCACCTAGTGGACTTAGTATTTCATTCAACAAGTACCTATTTAACACTCTGTCCCCAGGGCTCCCTTAGCTGTCCTGTGGCCTGTAGCTGCTCATGTTCCCTCTTGTACAGAGTATTGTCCACCTCAGTGACCCCATGGCCAATCTGAGTGAAGCCACTTGGGACACTGGGGTATGGGTATCTGAGGCAGGTGTAGCCAAGGCATTATTTTCCATCTCTGTCTCCAGTTCGGGCCCAAACCAAAGTCTGCCACTACCGCATCTGCATGGCACCTGATGGCAGCCTCTACCTGCAGGAGGGCCGGTTCTTCCCCAGCCTGGATGCATTGCTCGATTACTACAAGACCAACTGGAAGCTGATACAGAACCCTCTGTTGCAGCCCTGCATACCCCAGGTGGACCTGAGATATTCCCCATATCTGGGGAACACCGAGGACCCTGTCTTAGAGTTTCTTGGCAAACCTCTGGCCTAGACCTGGTCAGAGAATATCCAGTATCCAATGGCTTCTTTACTCTGATGGAGTTGGCCACTTTACCAGTTTTATCTCCTCCGAGGCTGTTGGAAGACTGGAGACCCCTGAGGAATACAGGATTCTCAATTCTGTAGGGCACCAGGAGGAGTCAAGGCTGGCGTGGGAAGGTTGCTCCAAGTCCTGAGGGCAGAAGCTGAGAGAGGAGATACTGTTTCCCCCAGTATCTGGTATTACTGAGTCCAGGGCAGCAATCTGGTTCCTCTGGTTCTGTAATGACAGCCTAGCCAGGGCTTGTAATGAGTATTTGTAGACGGATGTCCGGCTCTGGTAAAGGGGCCACATAAGTCCCCAAAGCAATTAGCTTCCTGCCCTGGGCTTGGCCTCCTGGAGGTCAGCTGTGGTCTTTCCTCTGTCCCTGCCTGGGCCCGGAGTAAGGGTGTGCTGGGGAGGGAGAGGCTGAGGCCTGGTGTTGGAGCTCTTCCTGAGACTCACAGGGGTCTAGGTTCAACTAGTAGCTCAGCCTTCCTGCCCACTCTGCTAGGGGAGTCTCAGGCAGCACACTGAGTGTCCCTTCCCACAGATGCCCCTGGCTCAGGACGAGTGGGAACGGCCACGCTCAGAATTTGTCCTTCGGAGAAAGCTGGGTGAAGGCTTCTTCGGGGAGGTGTGGGAAGGCCTGTGGCTGGGCTCTATGCCTGTGGCGGTGAAGGTTATCAAATCAGGTGAGGCCTTGCACCCAGGCTTGGGCAGCACTGCCCTCTGACCCTGGAGTCTGGGGCAGTGGTGGCCATGCACAGTCCTGGAGCAGCATTCTTTCCACAGCTGACATGAAACTGGCAGACCTCACCAAGGAGATTGAGGCGCTGAAGAGCTTGAGGCACGAGCGACTGATTCGGCTGCATGCCATATGCTCCCTGGGTGAACCTGTGTACATCGTTACTGAACTCATGGGCAAGGGCAACTTGCAGGTCTACCTGGGCAGTGAGTACCCTCCACTTGGGCAGTGTATACCCTCCCTGACATCACCCTGTAGCAGCCACATCTGCCAACCCTCATGATAACGTTCATGCTCTGGGTCCACAAAGAAGAATCCTTAGGCCTTTGGAAGGGATACATGTGGCCCAGGTTGCAGACACCTGGTCCTACTGGGCCTCTGATCAGGAGAGGTATTGAGGCCAAGGGTCTGGGCCAGGCCTAGATTTAGCTGAAGGATAGTCAAAGCCTGGTGGTTCTGAGGATGGGGCTGCAGTTTGTGTCACCAACCTCTGATATATTGCCTTGGACCCAGTCCAGGCTGGGTACTCTCTCCCTTGGGGGGTCCAGGCAGGTGCGGAGAAACAGCTTGCACTGAGGCCTGTGGTGAGTGCAAGACTTCCTTTTTCATTTTATGCATTGCCTACTAGGCCTTAGTAGGTGGTGCTGCTCTCACTACCTCAGAGATGGGGGAACCAAGGCTCAGAGGAAGCACATGCACATGCTTGCCAGCCATCATCCTGTGCCCTCAGGAGTACTGCCACCCGGCCTCTCTCTCTGCAGGCCCTGAGGGAAAGGCCCTGAACCTGCCTCATCTACTGGGGTTTGCCTGCCAAGTAGCTGAGGGCATGAGCTACCTGGAGGAACGGCGTGTTGTCCACCGGGACTTGGCTGCTAGGAACGTGCTGGTGGGTGATGACCTCACCTGCAAAGTAGCTGATTTCGGCCTGGCTAGGCTGCTCAAGGTCAGTGGGGCTCTAGCTCCTAACCCCATGCAGAGAGGAAGGCATTACTCTGAATTCCCCACCATTACCCCTCATCCCCAGGATGATGTCTACTCCCCAAGCAGTGGCTCCAAGATCCCTGTCAAGTGGACGGCACCTGAGGCAGCTAATTACCGTGTCTTCTCCCAAAAGTCAGATGTCTGGTCCTTTGGCATCCTGTTATATGAGGTCTTCACTTATGGCCAGTGTCCCTACGAAGGTGAGCCATCTGAGAGGAAACCATGACTCATCAGAGAAAGTTTAGTCTGATGGAGGTAGCCTGGGGTCCACCCTGAGGGAAGAGATATACACTGCCCTGGGAGTCACTGACCCCTAAAGGGACCAGGATAGGGGCTGGAGTACAAGCACAGACTGGTCACGTAGAGGCCTGGGTTGGGAGGATCTCCTTGGTGACACCCAGGCAGAATCAAGGCAGCTGCTGCCTGGCCCCTCTTGCTGGCCTCTTACCAGGAATGACCAACCATGAGACACTACAGCAAATCAGTCGTGGGTACCGGTTGCCACGCCCAGCCGCCTGCCCAGCAGAGGTCTATGTGCTTATGGTGGAGTGCTGGAAGGGCAGCCCCGAGGAGCGTCCCACCTTTGCCGCACTGAGGGAGAAGATGAATGCCATACACAGGCGGCTCCATCTGAGCCTCACGTGACCAGGTCTCCAGTCCCACAGGCAGCGGTTATGGCAACTGCTTCCAAAGGGTGTCTCCCAAGGAAACACCTGTCGCCAACACACGGGAGATGCTGCACAACTGGGAATGCCAGCAGCCTCAGAGAACCCCACACTGAGGGCCCCTTCACTGACATAGGCTGGTACTTACATGTGCACAACACCACATGGACACGTGCAGACTGGGTCTAGTCATGAGCACTTACATAGACGTGAAGGCTATGTCCTCCTCCTGGCACAGTTTGAATCCCTGGTGTCTCCAAAGAGTTGATAAAGTACAGAAGAGGAGCTGTAAGGAAGTGTACCAGCAGAGCCAGCAATTTCCTCTCTGCCTTCCCCTCACTCTGGGCTTCCTCAGCTCCCTCCTAGGATCAAGGATAAGAAGCCCAATTTCTCTCAAGTCTTACTGTGGATTTGGTTAAGTATCCAGTGCTAGGGCTCCCAAGCACATCTCACCAGTACACGCTGTGTACTCACAGGGGACGGTAGCATCCTCTGCCCACACCCACTGCCCCCACAGGTACTGGCGAACTCTAGGCACACAGAGTCAGCTTCAATAAACATGCTCCAATGGATTCACATACCAGTTCCCAGAATCGAGTGCTGGAGGCTCTAAAAGATGGGAGGAAGAGTTGAACCACACCCCAGAGCCAGAGCTGCATTACAAAGTGGTCCCCCATGACATTAATGGTGGAGACTGCTGGAGTTCCCCGGCCTGGGGATGAAGCCAGAAAGTTCTTCAGTTTCAGAAAGGGTGCATTGGTTGTTTGGTGGTCAGCACTCCCAGGCCTTTCCCAGATGCAGAAGGATGGAGTTTCAAGACTGTTTCTTTGGAAGGGCAGGGGTTAGGAGGCAGAATTTTCTGGTTGGCAGGATTAGTCAGATATAGGTAGGATGCTGACAACCAGACAACCTACTTTCTGGGCAAAGCCCCCGTGGGTCGCTTTTGTGTTTGAGTGTGACACCTCGAGAAGTTGGGCCCTGGATCATTCAACACTTTAGGGCACTAGGAGCAGTATACTGGGGATTAGGTGGCCTTTGCTCAGGGATCCAAGGTCATTTCACTCTCTTAGCAGCTGTATCCAGAAAGCTGTGGGCTCTCCCCAACTCCTCTACTTGTTGATTTAATTTAATTTTCCTCTCCCCACTGTCTAATATGAGTCTGACCTCACGTACGAAGTGACCCCTTAGGTACAGGAAAGAGTTTGGGGCTTAGCCAGTCATGGGCTTTCTTATGGGGAGGCTGGATGGAGGCAGTGAGGCGTTGTCACTACGGGACCCAATCAACCTGGCCTCAGTTCAGAACAGAATGGTCCTAGAAGCTGTGGAGGCCAGGCCAACAGAGTGTGCTAACATTGGTCTTTGTCGGTGGAAGGGGCAGTGGGATTGGACTGAGCCATGGCCCTGCATCTGCCTCAGCCTGCAGCTCTGACCTCTTGAGGGGAAGAATCTGGACCTGACAGTTGGCTGCTGTGGACTCCCTGCTTTGCTAGCACACAGAACAGCAGTATGAGCAAGGGCCTACGTGGCACAAGATGGTAGCATTCTGATGTTAAAGGGCTACCATGAGTCAAACGAGGAGACACTGGAGATAGATGGCACAGCCTAGGGAGAAAGATGGTGCTGGGACTGTGGCCAAGCCATGGAAGCAGGTTTGGCTGGGTCCTGACGCATTCCTGTGTGCTTACTCAGCCAAAGATGAGTAGGTTTGGCCCTCCTGGGAGAGGCCATGGACTTTTGAGCTACCTGATGTATCTTCCATAGAGCTGCCCACAGGTCTCATCTAGGGACATGTGGCTGTCTGGGACACAGCTTGGACTCAGCGGCTCAAGACTCGAGGGCTCTGGAGCAGACAGGGGAGGCAACCATGGAGTTCTTGAGGCTGAATTCTGCCATCCTTATTCCTTTCCTCTTCCTGTGATGCCCTTTTCCCACACCTTGTTGGGAACTGAGTTGGGCTGGGTAGGTGTGAAGCTACTAAATAATGCATGTTGCTGTTCTTAATCCTAATAGGAAGCAGGTGAGTAGTGCTATATCTCTTCAGTGAAAGAAAATTCAAGGCCTGGCACAGTTCTCACTGATAGAACATTTGTTTACATGCATGTGGACCAGGATTTGATTCTCAGCATGAATCAGCAGGAGCACCACCACACTTCCCTGCCTAAAAAAAAAAAGAAAAAATAGCAGGGCGGTGGTGGCTCACACCTTTAATCCCAGCACTCGGGAGGCAGAGGTGGGCGGATATCTGTGAGTTCGAGGTCAGCCTGGTCTACAGAGTGAGTTCCAGGACAGGCTCCAAAACTACACAGAGGAACCCTGTCTTGAAAATACAAAAAAGAAAAAAAAAAAAAAAGAAAAAAAATATTCAAATAGGTAGTCTTATACAGTGTTGTTTCCCAGGCCACTCATCCTTACAGACTTGTCAGTCCCCCTTCCCACCCCTCTTTTTGGCTATCCTTCAGACCCCTGTGTAGGAGCACCCCATAGTGGACAGCCAGAGTGAGGAAGTGGTTGGGACCGCTCTGGAGAGAGGGAATCTTTGGAGTTTTCAAGGTTTAATGGGAGGAGGGGCAAGCAGGGAGACTGGAACAGTCACAAGCTGCAAGGAGTTGAGGTAGCGTGGGAGGTGGGTTGAAAGGGTCCCCCGGGTGGGGGGACCACAGAGCAGAAGGGAAGCCTGGGAAAGACGGTGGTGGGGCTGCAGAGGCCCTGGTGGTGTGGACACTTCCTAGTTATTACCTTTTGTGGCTGCCCTCTTGTGTCCTTATCTGGGAAGACAGGGCAGTGCCTGCTTCTTGAGCTGAGGTCTATGGACTACAGGCATGTCGGAAGATACCAGGAAGCTCTCTAAACCAGCTCATAACCCACATGGATGTTTATGCTTTCATACCCTGTGGCTCTCGTTGTCTCCTCAGCTGCCAGGTTGTGGTCTAGCATGCTGTCCTGGGTGGTTTCTTCAGGATAGATGGGCATCTGAGTGTCCTCACGTCAAGGAACCGGAGTTTTGTAGCAGAAGCTCAGGCTGGGGAATGTCCTCTCGGTTCACAGGTCTCACCCAGGCCCCTCCTACTCTAGTCTCGAACGCAGGTCCTGCCTGATTCTCTTGATGCCATGCCTAGATCTAGTTCTGTCAGTGTCTGGGGGGTGGACACCTGCCCAGGGAGGCGGCTGTTAGGACTGTCAAGTCCTGCATAACTCTCAGTATTTGTGAGTGTGTGCAGGAGGGAAGCCTCCATTGGCAGAAGGCACTGGCCAGTCTAGGAGAGTTTTTTATGTAGAAAAAGTAGCACCTGGCTCTCTACTCTGTTCCTTGTGTGTTCTAGCAACCTGCCCACCATCCTTGAAACTTCCCTCCACTGCTCCCCTCTCCATCCTTGGGCTCCAAGACTCACACCGCAGGGGCTGAGGGTTCAGCTGAAACCTGTATGCTCGCCATCTAGTGGGATGTTCCATGTAACTGTGACTGGGTCTTGTCAAGGGGTGGTTTAGATGGCAGACTTCCACTGAAGATGAGTGTGAGCATTCGCATGATTTGATTCTGAGGACAAAAGAATGTAAAGGGCCAGAAGGGCCTTTGGGGTGGAGACAGGATAGTACAATGGGTACTGGGTGCGGCTGCTCTCCTTTCAGGAGGAAGTAGGTGTGACTAGCTTACCGGGAAAAGCCCTGCCTACTCCTCCCAGCAGCAAGTGTCCATACACAGCTCACAGTTGGCTCTGCCCTTGAGCCTGTCATGTCGTCGTGGGACAAGGTGCACCTGGGCCCTAAGTACATGGGCCTCTGGGACTTCAAGGCACGAACAGATGAGGAGCTGAGCTTTCAGGCGGGAGACCTCCTGCATGTTACCAGGAAGGAGGAACAGTGGTGGTGGGCCACCTTGCTGGATGCGGCAGGCAAGGCCTTGGCTGAGGGCTATGTGCCCCACAATTACCTGGCTAAGAAGGAAACTGTGGAGTCTGAGCCGTGAGTGGCCCTGGAGAGCTGGCACAGGGGAAGGGATGGACCTTGGGCTGGACTGGGGCAGCCAGAGGGTGTAAGATCCTAGCTAGACATTCAGTTGGTCATACTCTGATCCTTAACATCCTGGTACGCAGGGTTGCTGATAGGGCCATGCCTCTGCGTGACACTGGGGAATGGGGCCTCTCCTTTGGAACCCACCCATGACTACTTCCCAGTCATAAGTACTGTTTTGTTAGGACCCAGATAGGACAGGACAGAAGGGCCCAGTGTGGATTTTTAGGATGGTGTGAGAGACAAGATCTGTGTGGGAATTCAAAGCTGTTGGGAGTTTGTTCACTTTCCAAACAGCCAGAACCAGATGTGCGACCTAGTTCAGGGAGACAGAAGGCTGCTGGGGCACACCTGTCTATATCACCTGTTGGGGGTACATGTGCAAACACAGTGGTGTATTTTCGTGCCTCCTCAAGCACCTTAATCCACTGTCCTGGTCACCCACATACCTGAGCCCTTAGAGGCTTTGAGGAACTACAATAGTGCTTGGTGTGGGCATGTCCACAACCACCCAAGGACCCAAGCTATATAGGGTGCTCTGGGCTAAGGCTGGGAAAGGATTTCTTACCCAGCAGGAGGGATTTCTTGTTTTGCTCCTCAGACCCTCTCTCCCTACTCATCTCACAGTGAGCACCTAGTGTGTGTAGCTGGAAGGTTTCTCCATCCAGCCTGGCCCCTGGTCCCTCAGCTGCTTATAAAATAATCATTCAGAGGCTTAATATTAATTACAAACTGTGTGGCCTCTTGCTAGCTAGCTCTTATAACTTAACCCATTTCTATTTACCTAAAGTTGCCAGGAGCCATGGCTTACCGGTACTTTCTCCTGGTGGCAGCTGGCGTCTCTCCCACCTCCGCCTTTTCTTTCCTGTCTCGCTCCTTGGATTTCCCACCTGCCTCTAAGCTGCCTTGCCATAGGCCAAAGCAGCTTATTTATTAAGCAATGGGAACAACATATATTCACAGCATACAGAAAGATATCCCCCAGCAATTGTGCTCAATGGAAGATCGTGAGCACACAAGGAGACAAGAAACAAGAGTAATAAATGATACCTAGGACAGTTCCAGAGATAGGGGTTCATAATGGGAACAAGGTAGGCATGGGTGGTGTACATAAAAGGCTGAGAAGAGTCAGGTGGTGGCACGTTTTTAGCACTCAGGAGGTAAAGGCAGATGGATCTCTAAATTCAAGGGCAGCCTGGTCTACACAGAGAGGTCCTGTCAGAGATAGACAGAGACAGAGAGGCAGAGATAGAGAATCAGACAGAGGGAGAGAGGGAGGGAGGGAGGGAGGGAGAAAGAGAGAAAGAAAGAAAGAGAGAGAGAGAGAGAGTCACATGGCCAATATAGCAAGAGCAAAGGCCCTGAGGTCCTGAAAATCTAACCCATGAAGTCAGAGGAGGAGCAAAGCAGAGGAGACGAAGTGGTCAGGGTTAGTGGGAGAGATTCTTTAGCTTTGCAGGACTTGAGGAGGTGGGCTTCAAGGGCTTGAGCTGAATGTTAGGCTCCTATGTGGAGCCCATGTTCCAACCTTAAGGGAGTTGGAGACTCCATGGGCAGAGATCATCTATGTAATTCCACAGACTTTCACCTGTAGTTCAGTTCAGGCATGTCTGTCCTTCCTGTTGGAAACCAGTAAGTACAAATGCTTTGGAATGGAGAGTATGTGCATGTGTGCCACTGTGTCTGTGCAAGTACGTAAGGGTGTGCTTATCAGTACATGTGCATGCTTGTGTAAGTATGCAAATGTGAGTGCATGGATGGGCATGTGTGTCTGTGCACATAAGTGCGCATGCGCTAATGGCTATGTGATTATGTGAACATGTGTATGAAAGTATAAGTCAGGAAGAAGCACTGAGGAGCTGCTGTTGAGATCCCTCTCCCACCTACTTCTGGTGGGAGGGCTGATGTCTGTAGCTCTGGTCCCACAACCTGCTGAGACATCCACATGATGGGACTGCAGGCCTTTGCGGGGTGTGGGGGAGGGCTGATCCACAGGTGGTCATCATTTACCAGATAGTAGGCAGTGCTTGCCCATCCCACTTCTGGGCCACTAGGACTTTTCCTGGTGTCCAGAACCAGCCATTTAGGACTTTCAGGGTCCATGATAGGCTGAGAGGCCTCTGCAGGGTTGGGAGCAGCATGAGAGGCAGCTTGGTTGGGGTAGGGAGTGTGAGATAGGAGTCAGGGGTAGCTAGGACTCCAGATAGACAGGGAAGGGTTGGATAGTTGAGAGACAGGCTGGATGTGGGGCTGGGGTAATATACTGAGGCTGACTTTCTCCCCTGCAGGTGGTTCTTTGGTGACATCTCCCGCGTAGAGGCCACGCACAGGCTGCAGGCTGAGGACAGCTCAAAGGGTACCTTCCTGGTCAGAGTCAGCCACAAGGCAGGAGCAGACTATGTTCTCTCTGGTACTTCTTCTCAGACCTCCCGTCACCTATGCTAGCTCTGTGGCTTTCCTGACCACATGGTGATCTGCCTTTCTTCCAATTGTGAAGTCTGGGACATCTTCCTTTTCCACTGGAAGCCCTGACCCCTCCCTGTGGTCCAGACACTCTTCAGGTTGGGTTGTTTCCCTGTGCTTTCTGGCATGTCCTATGTGTGTCATGGAAGCCAAGGCTCCACAGGTGTCCCACTGTACACACGGCCCAATAACCTAGGAAACAGAACAGTCATGGCTTATGACAGGAGTGCCATGGTGGAAGCAGGGGCAGGCAGCGGGGGACATGCAAGGTGGGATGCCTGCTTACGCCTCCTTCCGCCGGCCACCCACCCCAGTGCGGGACACTCAGGCCGTGCGACATTACAGGATCTGGACAGACGATGTGGGCCGGCTGCATCTGAATGAGGCGGTGTCCTTCCCCAGCCTGACTGAGCTTGTGGACTACCACAAGATCCAGAGCCTGTCCCATGGCCTGCAACTGACTATGCCCTGCTGGAAGGTAGGCCACTGGCTCCTCTGTGACATAGTTGCTCGGGGTCAGACAGGTGGAGTATCGTGTCGGGGCAGGAGGGGCTCAGAAGATGGTATTCCTCTTGGCTGTCACTCTTATTATACTGGCTCACCAGAGCTTAGTTGTTCTCCTGCTAAGTCCTGACACCTGGTAGGCCTGGTGACAAGGGTCACTGGCCAATTGCCTGAGAGGGCTTATTGACCTTGGTGGATGAAGACAGCTGCATTTTTATGCAGGACACTGCGATACTACTATGCTGGATGTAGCTCTAAATTTAAAGATGAATAGGGCTCCTTCTGTCAGGTTCAGAGCAAACCCTTCCTGAAGACAAGCTGAGTGTCTCCCAACTCCTACCACCACCATCGCCCTTTCTGTCTCTCCAGCACAAAACTGAGCCCTTGCCCCACTGGGATGACTGGGAGAGGCCAAGGGAGGAGTTCACACTCTGTAAGAAGCTGGGGGCCGGCTACTTTGGGGAGGTCTACGAAGGGCTCTGGAAAGGCCAGGTCCGTGTGGCTGTGAAGGTGATCTCTAGAGGTGAGCAGGCCCAGGCCCAACTCAACTTGGTCACATACTACTTTCCCACTAGTCCTGCCAGTGGGCACTTCTGGTCTCTCCCCGCTGGGGGTATCCCAACATATTACTGGGCACCTACAGGATCATGGTGGGAGTAATTTCTTTCACTTGTACCCATTTTTATTGAAACAAGTCACTGGAAATTTGAGCTTTACCTAGAATCCCAGCCTCACCCTCAGGTTTATACCTGATACCTCAAGGATCAGGTAAGCCAAGACCTTGAAAACATCTAGCTGGCAAATGTGACTTTGGCAGTTGTGACCCAGTAGGGCATAGGAGGGCAGATGGACACATCAGGCTTGGGGCACCGAGGCCTTGCTTGTGGAGGGTTTAGTGTCTAGGTTGGGGGCTAGCCTTTGTCTTCCTAGGCTGACCACATTTCCTGAGCTGCTTCAGGCCTGGGCCTCCAACCTGGGCACAGGCCAAGGGCTGTATCCACTGAGACTGATGTCTCTCAGATAACCTCCTGCACCAGCACACCTTCCAGTCTGAGATCCAGGCCATGAAGAGGCTGCGGCACAAGCGCATCCTGGCACTGTACGCTGTGGCATCTGCAGGGGACCCCGTCTACATCATCACGGAGCTCATGCCCAAGGGGAGCCTGCTGCAGCTATTACGGGGTAAGTGGCAAGCTCCACACTCCTCTCCCTGAGGTGAAAGTGTTGGAGGCAGCAGGCGACACACACAAAAGAGCCAACAGATATGCAGATCCTAGTTGTCCATGCCTGACCCACACAAAACAGCCAGGAGTTCCCAGATGAGCTTGTTGCTTTCTTGTTTAAGAAGTTACTTATTTTTTTTTTAAAGTGGTGGTTGGTGGGGTGGGAGCTGGAGAGATGGCTCAACAGTTAAGGTCACTTATTGTTCTTGTAAAGGACCGGGGTTCAGTTCCCAGCACCCACATGGTGGCTCACAACCATCCATAACTCTAATTCAAGGGGATCTGACATTCTCTTCTGGCCTCTGTAGGCACCAGGCATGCATGTGGTACACAGACATATATGCAGGCAAAATAATCAGACACATAAAATAACTAATGTAAAGCTAATCATAGAAGCATGCATCTGTTATCCCAAGGCTCCAACAATGAGATGGGAGGAAATGGAGAATCCTTATCTGGCTCTGCAGCAAACAACAAAAACACTCCTTGACATGTCAATAGTGAAGACTAACACCCAAGGTTGTCCTCTGACCTCCACACACATGTACACATACACATTATGCATACACAGCAAAGAAAAAAAAGCAAATGACTTAAAATATGACAAATCTACCAATTGCTGATCATAAAATTTGAAAAGGTACAGATAAGTACAGAGAAGAGCACCCATCCACAATTCCTATACCCATAGTTAACTGAGGTCACTTTACTATAGGTTCTATGTAGCTTGCTAGTGACCTGCTTCAGCCTACCAGCTTCTCTCTCTTCCTGAGACCTGATGTTCAGTCATGCCTATACATACTTATATCCAAACACATGTAAAACACTGACATACACAAATACAGACATTCACACATGGCACAGACACACCCTCACACATGTAGGCACAACTCATCTCACCCACAAGAGGACACAACTGTCTGTTTTCTTCAACACAAAACCAGACCATCTCCACCAGCTGAGATGCTGTGCAAAGATGCCACCAGCTTCATACAACAGGGAAAGGGAATGTGGCAGTGTAGGACAGTCAAGCCTGGGGGTATATGTATTAACATATCACTAGCTTTTAGAAGAGTAAAGTTGTATAGTCTACGTGCTTCATAAGCAGTTTCTGCAGGAAGTAGGCTTCAGAGATGAAATGCACGCCCCCTGTAGGTGGAGCACTTACTGGATGTACAACCTCTAGAGAGTTTACTATACCAAGAATATCTTGCAGCAACATCTCTGCCCTTAGATTGCTTTATAATTTCCAGAAGGGGTGTGGGACAAAGAGTATGTGTGTGCTGTTTGTCTCTAGGTACTGCAGAAGGTCTAGGACTGTCCACTTTCCAAATAAGCCAGACCAGCTGCCCTTTGCTAGAGTCTTCATAGTCTCAGCAAATGAGGATTGAGTTCTGGCCAACTGACTCTGGCCTCTGATCACCCTGCAGACTCTGATGAGAAAGTCCTGCCTATGTCGGAGCTGGTGGACTTTGCATCACAGGTTGCTGAGGGCATGTGCTACCTGGAATCTCAGAATTACATCCACCGTGACCTGGCTGCTAGAAATGTTCTCGTTGCAGAGAACAATCTCTGCAAAGTGGGGGACTTTGGGCTGGCCAGGCTTGTCAAGGTAGGACCCTCAGAGGTAGAAGCCAGAAGCAGGATATGGGGTTTTATCTCCCAAGCCTTGAGCTGAACCCAGCCATGGGCAAGATGAGCTCTTGATAGGGTGGCGTTATCAGGCAAGGAATGGCTTCATTCATCCGGCCACAGCCTTGTTTATGCCCACATTGGGCCAGCTCTGGGTACCTTGTACACAGCCATGTACAGTGAGCTTTTCCTGTCCTCACACATTGCAGCTCCCCCCTTGTCATGCCCCCTCCCTGCCAGAATCCCGGTGAATTGGCACTTTTGATACACAGGGCCTAGCCATGATTCTAGCAACATTGGTGGCAGTTATCTCTGGTAGCAGTGGGGTGGTGTCAGTGGGTCAGATGATAAGGCAGGGTGTTTACACGTGCCCATTAGGACTTTGGCATCCATGCCTGTCCATGTTACACAGGAAGGGTACAGGGGCATCTTCCTCTAGTGTCAGGGCCCCACCATAAGCCATCTTATCACAGGAGGACATCTACCTTTCCCACGACCACAACATCCCCTACAAATGGACAGCACCTGAGGCACTCTCCCGAGGGCATTACTCCATCAAATCTGACGTCTGGTCTTTTGGGGTTCTCCTCCATGAAATTTTCAGCAGGGGGCAGATGCCCTACCCAGGTATTGCCCCAAGAATGTCCCCAACTATGGATTGCCAGTGAGGTGGAGTGGGGGCAGGTTTTGGATGGCTGACAGAGATGACAGGAGGTACTTTCCAGAGCCTCAACCAGACCCCACCCCTGTTCCATTCCTTGAGCATCCAGGAGCACGCTGCTGAGACCACCTCCTGGAGACACTGTCCTCAGGGAAGTGTCTGACACACAACCACAGACAGTGTGCTAGAAAATGTCCAGAGCACGGTGGTGGTCATTCTTGTTGGAGACAACATCCAGGGAGGGACCAAAGGCAGCTGGGTGTGGCTTCCAGGGATTGGAGGGTGGACATTAGCCTCTTAGCTCTCATTTCTCTTCTCCCATGGGCCACAGGCATGTCCAATCATGAGGCCTTCCTGAGGGTAGATGCCGGCTACCGCATGCCATGCCCCCTGGAATGCCCACCCAACGTGTACAAGCTGATGCTCAGCTGTTGGAGCCAGGATCCCAAGCAGAGACCTTGCTTCAAAGAACTGTGTGAGAAACTCTCAGGCATCACCAGGTATGAGAACCTGGTCTGAGCTCCTTGGACGTGGCCAGGACCCACAGAAGAGAGGCTTCATGATTATCCTGGACCTCCATTGAAGGTGTGCACCATACTTCAGCCTACTGAGGGGATAGGAAACACACCAAACATACCTCAGATACTGCATGCTATCAAGAAAAGAGTGAAGAGGGTGCCATACTACCTTCCCACCTATACCCTTCCAGGAGGCAGTCCACAAAATCCAGGCAGCCATCCTGTCTTCTTCCTCCCTTCTCCTGTGAAGACTTCATGTGACAGAGAAGCCAAGAGTCTAAGCAACAGGCCTGTGGAATTCTTAACAGCATATCACTTTCAGAGCATACCTGTCCTTGGTCACTCCTCTGCTCAATTGCGCGCGCGCGCGTGCGCGCGCGCGCACGCACACACACACACACACACACACACACACACACACACACACCTTGGCACCTTAATTCTACAGGCTCTTATGCCACAGAACAAGTTTTGAGCTTCAGGTCCTTTCCCTTCAGAGACAGCTGTTTCTGTCCTGAGCTCCTGAGACAGAACACTCTAGAAAACTACTGACCTCATGCTCTGCCTCATCCTCCAATACAGTTCTCAGGGATATAACTGTCACTAGATAGGGAGAACACAGAAAAACATTTGGAAACAGGGCAAATTAAAACTCTTAGAACTAAGTCTTTTGCATAGACATTAGTCCATCCTCCTTCCTGTTGGGATCTAAATCTTCCCAGATGGCTCTGGTCCAAGGCTGCTTTCCTCATGTGTCTCCAGGGTTCTTGAACCCATGCTTGACTAAGTCCAGCCAGACTATCTGCTCTCTCTGTCAGCTCCTTATATACTTGGACATTAGGGCCCCAGTTCTGATGGGGTGAGAGTACCCCAAAAGTATCTATCAGAGGCTGCCTTACTGGAAGTGGGCATAACCCTCTCAGCACATATCTACCACCAGTTTTCAGACTGACCTCTCAACCTCTCAAGACAGGTGAACATACCCCAACCTCCCTTGAGGAAATGTCCTCTCTGTGTCCAAGAGATGACACTGTCTGTACTGCTTCCTGTAAAGTCAAGCTATCTTTTAAAAATACAGTTCTCAGGGATATAACTGTCACTAGATAGGGAGAACGCAGAAAAACATTTGGAAACAGGGCAAATTAAAACTCTTAGAACTAAGTCTTTTGCATAGACATTAGTCAACAATTTTCTAAGTAACTGAACCTTTCATTTTTGCCAAGAACAGAATTTGGGCCAGGCTTGGTGGCACATACCTTTAATCCTAGCACTTCAAAGACAGAGGCAGGCAGATCTCTGAGTTAGAGGCCAGCCTGGTCTACATAATGAGTTCCAGGACAGCCAGAGCTACATAGAGGCCCTGTCTCAAACAAAACAAAACAAAACCCAATAAAAACAAAACAAACAACAACAACAAAAAACTCTTATAATTCTGTTTAGACTGGTCTAGAGATGAGTGTTCATTAAATATTTCTAAAACCACTCAGAAATACCAGAACAAGGTCAAACGTTCTTAAAGATCATGATTTAGAATAATCTTTAAGAGTGTTGGTAAGATAAAAAACAGGTATGTTTTCAGCTATGTCAACACTGAATACAATATAGCTAGACCAGTGGTTCTCAACCTTCCTAATGCTGCAACCCTTTAATACAGTTATTCATGTTGTGGTGAGCCCAACCATAAAATTATTTTTGTTGTTACTTTATAACTTTGTTATGGATCATAATGTAAGTATTTTTGGAGATAGAGGTTTGACAAAGGGGTCATAACCCACAGGTTCAGAAACACTGAACTAGGCCTCCCCCTGCTCCCAGGGTTTAAACAAGTTTGTTAATTCTACTGAGTATTTAAAATGCTGAGACTAGGAACGGAAATCAACAGTAGCATACAAAGGAAAGACACGAGGAGTGGATGGTCTTTGCTTCGGTGGTGTTGGTGACATTTGCTTGATTTGTTAACAAGAGCAATTTTGTGTTGACACCTCGTGAAACCTTCACGACCATAACTGTTGAATGAACAGGAATGTAAGTTGGGTGAAAGTTTAAATAAACGTTTCAATAATAAAAGTCATCTTAAAACCTTAAGTTTGTTAAGGCTTGGGAAATTTTAGTTATTAATTCAACTTTGGGGTAATTCCTAAGGAAACATAAACTTAAGCTGATCTTCTTGTGGCCTCTTGATCTTACACACGACGGATGAGCTAGGTGTGCTCGGGTCTGTAGTGAGTATGAGAAGCTGTATAATTTGAAGGACATGCTGCTCCAGTGCCTGCAGGGGTTTTCTTCAGTGGCATGCTGGCACTGAGGCATGGGGGTTTACTTCCTAGTTGCACTAGAACTAGGGAACGTAAGATTAGGAATAATACATGTAACTAGAACCACCAGAAACAGCAGGGAAAGTCACCTATGTGCAAAGCAGACAGGGAAAACTCCACTTGTGGTAAGGTTGTCGTTTAGAGAGGACGATAATCATTGAGTGTTCCAGAGTATGAAAAAGAAAAATAGGGAGAAAAAGCTGACGGATCTCCTCCCCCGCTTCTTTTCGAGACAGGGTTCTCAAGTGTAGCCATGGTTGTCCTGGAATTCACTCTATAGACCATGCTGGCCTAGATACACCTGCCTCGGAGTGCTGGGATTAAAGGCATGCACCACCACATCCAGCTTGTTGATACTTTTCAGATACTCAAAGGCCTGGTGGAATGGAACCTTATCTCATGTAGTCAAAGCTAAGGACTGAAAGGATTTATTTAGAGTTCTTTTAGATTAGCTTAGGGGTTGAGGCCGTAGCTCAGTTGGTAGAGCCTAATAAACATAAAGTCTTGGGTTCCATTCACAGCACTGGATAACCAGGTATGGTGGTGCACACCTGAAATCTTCGGATCTGAGAGATGAAAGCAGGAGACCAACTTGGGCTACGCAAGACCTTGTCTTAAACACACACACCCTTAAAAAAAAGGAATCCGCCGGGCGGTGGTGGCGCACGCCTTTAATCCCAGCACTCGGGAGGCAGAGCCAGGCGGATCTCTGTGAGTTCGAGACCAGCCTGGGCTACCAAGTGAGTTCCAGGAAAGGCGCAAATCTACACAGAGAAATCCTGTCTCGAAAAACCAAAAAAAAAAAAAAAAAAGGAATCATTTTAATAATAATATAGATATAAAACTAGTTTAGCATTATGAGAGATGTCTTTACAAGTTCCAAAATCTTGCAGTCTTAAGCTAGTTTAACTCAGGTAATCAGCCTAGGGTTTGTGTTCAATCTCATGCTTCCTTCATGTTGTATGTGACTCAGTCTTTGATTATTGAAGGACAAGTTTTGCTCACAACCACATAACCTAGATTTCCTTTAAATATCTTACTACTTTGCTTAAATAGATAACTAAGGTCATACCTAATCAAGTGTTTGACAATTCCGAAACCAAGCTCTAGATCCAATTCTTCTAACTTTAAACGAACTTTTAAGTTTCCAGAAGGGGCCTTGCAGTCTCAGGATCTCTCTTTTATAAAAAAGAGAGCAATTAAACTAGGCTTACTTGATGTTCTGAGAAGCCTTGTCAAATACTAAAATATGAAACCTTTAAGTTGTATTTGTTACAGGTGTTATTCATATGAGCTGTAGAAGATTCCTGAAAGTCTGGTGTATTCAGGTATGTCATCAGTCATAATCGTATTATACTTAAACACGTGCCGCAGTGAATTAACAGCACCTTAGCGCGGCTTTCTTTCAAATGTTTACTTTGACTCTTGGAGATGAAAGGTATCTATCAACTCAGTCTCAAACTACTTCTTCCAGGATGTTTACATTATACAGGTATCCACACAGTCTCAGAATCACTGTCATGGTGCTTCTACGCTTATCACCAAATGGGTAGGCTCACTGCCATCCCCAGATAAGTCAGAACAAGAACTCAGTATGAGTGAACTGGTATTTTATATTTTTTTAAACCACTTTAAATTTTGCTGTTTTTTTTTTTTTTAAGGAAATCTTTTCCCTTTCTCCAGCTTACTTTGTGAAAGGTGAAAATATGTATCTTTCTCCTTCCTGATTTTTCAAGAATCTATAATGGTACTCTGCATTTGCATGTGAAGGCCAGAGGTTCCTCAGGTATCACTTTAAAATAAAAGGATCTCTCACCAATTAGACTAGGGTAGATAGCTAACCCCAAGAATCCACATCCCCAGCACTGAGATAACAAGCACTACTACATCCACCTTTTACAGGAATTCCAAAGGTGGAGTTCAAGTATTCACATTTGCAGGGTAAGCCTTTATCAACTGAGCCATTTCCTCAGCTCCAGGCAGACTGAATAACTTTAGTAAGGAAGGGTGACTCCATGGTAGCAAGGTCTCGTGGGAAGAACTGGCCTGGCTCCTTGAATATATGGGTGGCTGCCTCACTATGAGAAAGTAAGACTTTAGAAGCCACAGGACTTTTTGAAGAGGGAGCTAACCAAACCCACAGGTGCTGCTGGCAAAAATCTGTGGTACAACTTGGATGTGGCTGCCTGGTCTGAATATACTTTCAAAGTCTAACCTGAGATTCTGAGAACAAAGTCCTGGTGTCACACAGACAGGAGCCTATCAGTACTGTTCTGCTGCACGGTGTAAACCCAACAGACCACTGGTAAACAGATCTGCCCTACTTTGTCTGAAATTGTAGGGTTTTTTTTCAGAAGCTACAGTGTACTCAGCACCAGGCCTATTTGTTCTGAGGTTTAGTACCCAAGATCCAGAGTGGATCCAAATTCTTTCCTTTATTCTCTTAGGATCACTTTTTATCTGGTACCCCCAACTGTTTTCTAACCCTTCTGAAGTCACTAAGCCATTTCTTAGCTCTGCCTGCTGCAGCTGCACGTGACGAGACTTCCGAGAAAACAAACCTCACAGATGGGAAACCCTTGTGACTTCAGTCCAAAGACCAAAAGTCTACGGGGAGGGACCTATGGGAGGAGTAGATGGGAAGACGAACCATGCTACATGCCATCCAGAGCTGTTGGCTGTCCCCAGCTTCCAGCTCTGACAATGAGCAGATGCAATCAGCAGCTCTGTGGGCATTGTCTGGACATTTCAGCCTACTCTGAGTAGGACACAATCCCTGTTCTGAGTCCATCAAAGCTGGGAAGAGCCTCCTCCTCCTACAATTTGTTCAGGAGTAAGGGCAGCATCCCACAAGCCACCCTGAGGGCAGGCAGGAGGGAGGCTCAGCTGTCAGAAGCACAGGCCTCAGTTCCCTAGGCAGAGTGCTTTGTTTATGACAGGACTGCTGTGCCACACCTAAGACTCCTTAGCTTGCTGGCTTCAGCAGCCCTCCATGGTCCCTATGCCCTCTTACCCTGAGGCTAGACTACTTGTGGCTAGAATCCTCTCTCAGTCTGTGCTAGTATCCCCAACCTTTGGGGACCATTCATGCAGCAAGGCCATCTACCAGGTTCCTGCGTAGGTACAGGGTCTCTATAGCTGGGAGCTCCCAAGCTAAGCTAGAGGCCCAGCCTCCCCTGTACTGTCTACCTAGTGGCTAACTGCTACCCTCCGCTCTCCAGAAATAGAGGTATCCCAGCTTCTTGGGCCGGGCCCACTTGAGAGGTCATCATCTCACCAGATCTGGGGATATGACTGGGAAGGGTCTCAAAAAAGCTGGCAGAAAGACCTGGGAGCCATAGAGCACCCAGCAAGAAGAAAGGCTGGATTCAGTAATATCTCAAACACACCATGGGGAGGACGGCTGCTGGGAGTTTATTTTCTGCTTGGTGCAAGGCACAGTTGTGGGGTTAGGAAAGCTCAGTGCTGTGAACCAAGAGGGGGGGCTCTCTCCAGCTCCTGCTGGTGTCTGTTATGGCCGCAGCCTTCTTAGTTTACATGGTGGGGCGGGTGGGGGGGCGGGGAGGCTCTGGCCTAGCACCACTTAAGTGAGTTTGCTGTGGTTCTGCTAGGTCAGGACGGGGCCCTCGTGTTGGGCTGGCCAGGATGGACGACTGGCTGCTGCTTCACGGTTTCAGGAGCCAGGTCACGGGTGATCGGGCTTCTGGAGGCCTGGGGGGATTCTGCCGAGCTGCAGGGAGAGCATAAGTCATGGGTCAGAAGCTGGTTTAACTGGGACCACCCCTACAACCTTATGGAAAATGGACTCACAGATCAGGAGACTCCAACACTGTGGCCATGAATGGGAGGGTAGACTTCCCGAAAAAGAAGCTGGCCCACCAGTGGCCAGGGTCGGCCTTGGGGAGACCTGAGAGGAGCAAAGGAGGGTCAGAATGTTGCCATGCCAGTGGGGTGCTGTCCCTCTCCACGCTTCCCCGCCTCAGGATGTGAACTTTGCCCTTATGCCGGATGGTTCTGCACTCACCCGGGGGGTGGGGCACGGCGTCCCTGGGGTACTCTGCACTTCCGCAGGAGCTGTTGCTGGACGAGGAGCCCAGGCGTCCTGGGGAGGGGAGGCGGGTCAGCCACAGGGATCTGGCCCAGCTCTGGGCGGGGCCGGCGAGGGTCTACTTACGCCGATAGTAGTCATGGGTAGCCACGAGCGAGCCGCTAGAAGGGATGGCTGCCATACTTCAGGACCCGCGCGCGGTGGAGACCTGAGCAAAATGTAGGCCTGGTTACCGCACACCCGAGTGGACTCCGAATCCTCCGGCCCTGTCAGCCGCCGGGCTTCCGGGTGGTTCCAACCAGCCCAGACCGGCTGCGCGGTGAGACAAAGCCGCTTTGTACGCACCCGGCCCCTAGAAGGCGCACGCCTCCCCCACCGGCGGCCACCACCTCCATAACTACCGCCGCCCTCACCTCGGCGGCAACCCCTCCTCGAGGACCTCGGTGCACGATCACGGTGGTAATGCGTGGGGCACTACGCTGCGGAACCCATTTGCAGGGATAACCCACCGGAGACCGCGACTACACGAACCGCGCGCGATGCGCACGCGCATACTTACTCGCTGGCTTGTGCAGGCAACAGACGCATCACGGTGGGGCGGAGCGAGCGTCGAGGCCCCGCCTCCATCACGGCGGCCCTATCCTTGAGATCTTTGAGCCCTCCTGACCCCTATTAGATCCGCCCTAGCACGATAAGGTCCCGCCCTTCTTTCTTTTATACTCCACCCCGAGGCGAGCGAAGATCCGCCCCACGTTCTGCAATGCAGCTTCCACCTTGGCCCAAACCGCCTTGACCAAACATCAGCGATCCACCTGTAGGCAAAGTCCAGCTCTGCTGCTTTTCCCTCTTTGTTCGGACTGGGAGCACCTGGCCTCAGATAAAAGTGGTTAAAGAATCTCCTGCGGGACCTGTGCCACCCCCTCGGACGTGGCCTCACGTAGCCTAGCCTTTCTAGTGTTCTTTTCCCCTTACTTGCTGTTGTTCGCTGCTTGCGCCCGTCCCGGCAGGCTTTGTTTTCCAAGTGCCTCACTCCGACTCTTGGCTGAGTGGGTCTGTCTAACTCACACAAGTAAGCACAAAGGGCAACTCCCCCCCCCCCCCCCCCCCCCCCCCCCCCCGCATCGCAATCTCCGTATTCTGGCGCACTGGATAGTGTCTGGAGCCCCCAAGCGGCCCTACAGGGACTAACCTGCTCTTGGGAAGCTGAGGAGTCACCCGTGTCCCTTCCAAGTCGTGGTTCTTACTATTCATTAGTCCCAGCCTGTGTTCTGTTGCCTGGAGAAGAGTGATGGAAGCTAAGGTTGCCTGGGGGCGGGGAGAGCGGCGAACAGAGGCAGTCTCTAGTAGCTAGCATCAGGCAGAGTCCTGCACTATTGCACTATTGGTCAGACCTGTGTTTGGGGGAATAATCGAGTGCTTGGAGCTCTAGGGCTGGCCAGCATACCCTGGCCTCCCCTCCTTTCCCAGGCAGTGTTCTGCCAGACCCCCACGGGGACTGGGAGGACCATGAGCCAGCTTTTGCAGCATGCTTCTCCTATAACCAAAGATGCTAGACTTGCTTTCATGGGGGTGCAGGGAGAACCTAGATTAGTAGGACCCAAGGAGTGCTCTCGGTCCCCGAGGTCTCAAGGAGGCTTTGGCTGAGACCCTTTGCTTGGATTTGTTGAGACCTACTCTGCAAACATTGAGCCAGGCATGGGAAACCAGACAAGAAGCGACCCAGTAGGGGTGCTGGTTTAGAGGCAATAAGGGAGAGGGGTAAGGTATAATGAAAGAGAGGTGGGGCAGTTGACATGACAGCAGCAAAAGTGGATAAGGCCACTGATAAGGCGGATTGGCCAGTCCAGGTGACACCAGGAAGATGAGACTTCTGCCCGTACCAGGCTTGCTTCACAGCTTCAGGCTCTGTGACTTACCCTGGACTGCCCTGACCAAGTGTGTGGGCATCTCCAATGGTTATTAGCTGTTTCTTCTAGTGAAGCATTCCTCTGGAAAGGAAGTAAGGAATCTCTCAAGAAAACAAGAGAGTTTCTGGGGGTGGGGTGGTGGTTGTGGTGCACACCTTTAATCCCAGCACTCAGGGGGCAGAGGCAGGTGGACCTCTGTGAGTTCCAAGCCAACCTGGTCTACAGAGCTAGTTCCAGGACAGCCAGGGCTACACAAAGAAACTCTGTCTTGAAAAATCAAAACCAAGGGCTGGAGAGATGGCCCAGAGGTTAAGAGCCCTCTTCTGGCATGCAGACAGCACACTGTATCCATAATAAACAAATAAACAATAAATTTAAAAAAAAAACAGAGAATACAAGAGCACTGTTACAGGAACTCACAAGACATTTACCAACTCCCTCCAGGTTACATAAAGAGAAAACATTTGCTGGAGACGGGATGCTTCAGCAGAGTTGCCTACAAGTAGGGAACCCAAGTCATGCAGCTTTCATGACTTGTCACCCAGACTGATGTGAGCCTTTGGCGATGCAGCTGCCTGAGTCACCTACACTTTTGTAAGTCACCCTTCATCATTTTAATAGTTTATTTTCTTGTTGTTATGACAAATTACGTGACAGAGGGGACTTGAAGTGCGCAGTCATGGGACACCATGGCAGCAGGAATGCAGACAGCTTGGTCACTTTATGTGTGCAGTTAGGAAACAGAAAGAGAAATGCTCAGCTTACTCCCCCCGCCTTTTTTTTGTTTATTCAAGAACACAGCCCATGGAATAGTACTGTCCACATTTAGGAGATGTCTTCTCACCTCAGTTCTCCCTCACAGACATGCTCAAAGGTTTGTTTCCATGGTGATTGGAAATTCCATCAAGTTAACAGTTAAGATTAACCATCACACCCATGCTTTTGCCAGTAATTCTAATAAACTCACTGGTTCACAAGCTAGACTTGGGATTTTCTCTTTGCTCTGTCATTGATGTCCTATCTGGGGTGAACAGATGTTTGTTCACGTTCCCCAGGAAAAGCCATGCAACACCTGTGTGGTTCAGGCCAAGGCTAGAGAGACCAGGCTGAGGGAAGGGACTGTCAGGACCCAACTGCAAAGAACTTTGGAAGAAGGCGTCCTACACCTTGCCCAGACCTGAGATAAGGTCAGGAATTGGGACTCACACTGTCTATTTATCTGCCCTGATTCAGGGCATGGTGGTTACTCAGCAGGGACACAGATGGGTCAGATGTGAGTGTGCCACCTTTAGGAGTCCAGGCAACATACATAGTGCTGTCCCAGAGTGGAGTGGAGGTAGAGGACAGTCGGGGGAGAACAGGGCTGATCTATCTATTCATCAAATAGGTCCTGATGTGTGCTGTACACAGTGGGAGGTCAGAATGCAGAGATTCATTCACTGAAGAAGCAGCTGCTGCCCTTGGCACCTCAGAAAGTGGAAGTTGAGTAAGAAGACCAGTCTCAGCACCTGCACAGCATATGCCAAAGTCCTGAGACTGGCAGAGACTCTAGTACATTGGTCCATTAAGGAGGTTGGAGCCAGGTCCCACCTCCTGTTCTGCCTTGACTACTTCCCACAGAAAACAGGGGATGTGTGTAGCTTGTGGTCACTTACTGAGCCTCACAGCCTGTGTTGTCCTGTCCTGGGGATGTACAGCTTCTCTGAATCTGCCCAGTGGGACTAAGGTCGTGTCCCACCTGGGGCCTTTCTGGATGTCTCAGGGCTGGGCAGTTTGGAGGTGCAGTCTTCTCCTGGGGTTGGACAGGTTAAAACTGTAGACATGCTATGCCCACTTTCTACTAGGAAGGAGCTCCCCTATAGGATCCTCTTGGGAACAGAGTTTGTGGTCCAAGGTGTAGATTGTGGGTCAGCACCTGGGAAAAAAGGAAAGAAAAAGGACCATGAGAATTTCCCACATTGGGCCAAGCTAGCTGCTCACTTGGATGGATGTGGCTGGCGGGGGCCTTCAGTGGGAACCATCTGCTGATTATCCTCCGCTGGGCAATAAGGCCTTCTTTATCTCCCAGGCTACCCTTGGCTGTGCTCTGGGCCTGCCTAATCATCCCACCTCATTCTCAGCCTCACCTATCAGCATCTGTAGTAGAGTCTGAAGTGAGTCTCTTTCATCTGTCTGTCTCTCTGTATGTGTCTGTCCCTTTCATTCCATCACCCTTTCCCTCCATTTTCCCTTCCTTCCCAACCTCCCTTCTTTCCTATCCAAGATGAGGTCTCACTCTGCTATCCAGGCTGGCTTCAGACCTTCGGGCTTAAGTGATCCTC